TTGAATTGTAACACCTTAATCTAACTGCTGAGATCTCTCCTCAGCCTTCATTAGTGTCTACAGGAGCAGTTCATCACTAAATCAAACAAATCATCTGGTTCATGATCAAAACATGCAGGAAACGAGCTGGAAACTCCACTTTACTAAGTCCAACAGGGACCAGACCCCTAATCTGAAGTTGCAAATGTGGGATTCTGGCTACAGAGGGCAGCAGGGGTCTCAGTGACATTTCATTAACTCTGTCAAGGGTCATTTTAGCAGATACAGGCTCAAGAAAAGGATTGAAAATTATAAAAAAGTAGCATTTTTCAATCTTTTGGCTAAACCGTAGTAAAAACAGGGCCAGGCTCCTGGCTTCTTATGGGCCATTTCAGACACAATTTACAACAACAATGTCTGACTCATGTGGACCACTGACATTAACCTCCAGATATCTAAATACCAATCCTCCTTAAAATAAACGCGATTAACAAGATTGCAAGTGAACGCATCACAAACAAGAGCGTCGCCACACGAGACTGAAACTGTCCCAGAGGAACTTCCCTGCATAATTCTAACAAGCTCGATAATCATTTAGGAGAGGTGACATTTATCAGCACATCAAAAGAGAAAATATGGTGTGAAGAGAAAACGTAATTGCTACTGTCTCAATGGTGTCTGACGTAACTTTTTTTCAAGGAGCATGCAAAAATCTTGACCCAGACTCACGTCTCCCTCTGGCTGCATTTAGTCAGTGAGAGCAGTAATAGTGTGTGACTGAAGGTGAGGAAAAGGCCTCGGGCCTTCATCTGTGTTTAGATGTCAGCCCTCTTTGGTACAAGAGCTCTGTCGCCCGCTAGGTCTTCCTTACACAGACTCTCACCGTGGCGACCAAAGGACGGCCTGAGGGAAGGACAAAGACACGAGACAATGTTCATGCATACACAGAACCAAATCCAGAACATATTTTTGACAGAAAAACAAAACAAAAAAACGGTTAAAATCCTCTCAGGATTTGTGGAAGAAAACAGATTTCTGCAGATTTAAGGATTTAAATCTTTGCACCTCACCTTAATGAACTTTGAAATTAACAATATTTTAAACGACAGATCATTTTCACACACGGAGCTGTCAGATGTGCCACCAAACATCAACGATTCTGAGGCATTCTATCACTAAAGTTCTGCTTACAGGTGATTTCTGGTCAATTTGATGAGTTTTCCTGTCTAAAAGTTATAAATAATTCCAATCTAACCCAATTAAGATCCTAAACCTCTTTTGTGTGAAGTTTACAAATCACAGGACCATCGAGCTAATGGCTAGTCCAGGAGCAGTGATGGTCCAAATCACCATTGTGTAATAGATCCAAAATTTCAATTTTACAATACAAAATTTTGCTGTAGCAGTTCGCAGCCAGGATGAGAATCAGCTCCTCTAAATCTGAGACCATGGTCTTGAGTCGGAAAAGGGTAGAACACCTTCTCCAGGTCACGGACGAGGCCCTGCCCCAGGTGGAGGAGTTTAAGCATCTCGGGGTCTTGTTCATGAGTGAGGGAAAGATGAAGCGTGAGATCGACAGGCGAATTGGTGCCGTATCTGCAGTGATGCGGGTGTTGTGCCGATCTGCCGTGGTCGGAAGGCAAAGCTCTCGATTTACTGGTCGATCTACGTTCCTACCCTCACCTAAGAACGAGATTGCTGATACAAGGGGCCAAAATGAGCGTAATCTGAAGATGTGGCTGGGCTCTTCCTTAGAGATAGGGTGAGAAGCTCAGTTATCCGGGAGGGGCTCGGAGTAGACCCGCTGCCCCTCCACGTCGAGAGGAGCCAGTGGAGGTGGCTCGTTCATCTAGTTAGGATGCCTCTGAGACGCTTCCCTGGTGAGGTTTACCAGGCACGTCCAAAAGGGAGAAGACCTAAAGAGAGACCCAGGACACGCTGGAGAGACAACGTCTCTCAGCTGGCCAGGGAACACCTTGGAATTCCTCTGGAGGAGCTGGTCCAAGCGGCTGGGGAGAGGGAAGTCTAGGCCTCGTTGTTTAGGCTGCTGCCCCTGCGACCCAACCCTGGATCAGCAGAGGAAAATGGATGGATGAATGGATACATGCGTCTTTATTTAAAAAAAAAACATTTAGAGTGTTTCATACATTTTTCATTTAGTGCTTCATGACCCACAGTAGAGTCCCGACCCCAGCATTGGGACCCCTGCCTTCAACCACCATTAGTTTTGTATGATACTGTCTGGGCGCTCTGAATATGTTATATTTTGCTGTTGGTGGTAAGATTTATGCATAAAGCAAACCAATGTAAGTAACAGTTAGGTGTTATGTAGATTTAGATTTGCACGTATAATACGTCTGGAAGACTGGAGCTGTTTGTACACAAGAGGAAAGCTTTTTACTACGTCCGTTTCCACCATCAGAACTTTTGGGTCATTTTATTGGATTTTCACGGTTATCTGTGTGTCTCAATTCTCTGAACCGGCCTGAAAATACCACTTTCCGGGACATTTCAGGCACAAGCCGAGTTACCTGAACTCGGGTTGATGTACTCTCACGTGTTCCAGTAGTCACTGGGCGGGATCTGCCAATAACTCATGCTGATTGGTTGTACCTCAGTAGGAAAAGGACACCCAACAACTGACATTTGTAAAAGTGGAAGAGTTGCTGGTGAAGCCGAATGGGAAGGAAAAGAACATTAGCAGCATTGAAGCAGCTTTAAAATCACCATTTTTAATCTCCCAATGCAGAAAATGCAACGTATTCCTCCACTGATCCTGCATTTGTGCTCCTACGGAGCACCATAAAACACAATTCTTCATCTGGTCATTGAATGTCGCTTTTTACATCACACAACTACTCTTTGGTCACCAGACTGGACTAAACTACGACATACTTTAACTGGATGAAACCTTTAGCGTTATTAATGTCTGAGAAAGTCTTTTGGTGTTGTTGAGTGACATCACTCCATGCCAAAACAGTCTGGATATGCTAATGTCTTAGCAAAGTCCTTAAAAGGCCCATTTTGAGAAACAATGGCTGTCATGTTGTGGGTAAGAGCTTTCCCCCAGGACATGAAGAATCACAACAGAGCAAGGTAAGAAAAATACAAGTGTTTTATTTCTTAAAACAGAAATAAGGGAACAAAACTAGAACTAAAGGCGCTGCGTCTGAAACACAGGAACGGGACGGGACCGGAATCTATAAAAGATAAGAGGAGAGGTAAGCATGACCAGAACCAGAGAACCAGGAGAAACTGACTGAGTGACTGAGAGTTCTTACGGTCAGAGACCAGAAGTTGTGCGGAGGCGGACTGGGAGAGGTTGGAGTGGTGAGGATGGTGCTGAGCGTGGACAGGCAGGCGGGCGTGGAGATTGGAGATCTGAGGATCCTTGAGCGGTGAGACGAAAAACAACTCCAGACCAGGTAGGTGGTTCAGAACAGCTGGAACAGGACAAACAAACTCATTAGCTCAGAACGCAGGACCAGGACAGTTTACGAGGCTAGAAGCTACCCATATGAGAGTATCGACCGGCGCTGGAGTTGAATCACATCACTCCTTAAAATCCTTGTGGCTCCGATTAGTGGAAACTCCATACAGCTGTGATGAGTGCCACGCCCACCTGTAAACACAGCGCTGACCAAAAACTCACAACCGATGGAGGCAGACCGTGACAATGGCTGAAAGAACCGAGAGATCAAATCCCTGCTGCGTCCTTCCCTCCTCCAGAACTCCTAAAGAGGAAGCGCGGCTAATCTCACCGGTGCTCTGACTAGCTGTTAGCTCATCAATCCTGCCGAATATGATCACTATTTGTTCCGAACAGAGGTTGTTCAGGAAGCTATCTGCAAACAATAAATATGGTTTTTATTTATTTTTACACAACAACACGAAGCATAAATGAAAAGAAAAAGTAAAACTTTTATTATTTCATCTTGAGATGAGCCAGTAGGTTATTTTAGAGTTTCTGGAACAGGAATGCTCGTCTTTAACGGTCACGTGTTTGCAGCTGTTCTTTCCGGTGAGAGTTTCAGTCTGACTGCTTATAATCTTGACAGCTGTTCTCAGCACCACAACAAATTATCAACAGGGGTCAAGATGTGAAAAGAAAAAAAAAATACATTATCAGCTTGTTCTGAAACACAATTTGCTGACATGCACGGGTGAAAATATATTTTTTTTCTGCTTCCAAGGGGCCCCGAGCCTCCCACCTCACCCTAGAGCCTTTTTCCTTACAGCTTTCCTGAGAGGCCGGGGCAATCAAGCACTCTACCTTGTTAGGAGGTGTTAATTGGAGTTAGACTCCTCACTTTGTCGAGGAGTCTGACAACAGAATTAATTAGAATTGGAGTATGCAAACCCATTCAAATTGGGGTCCTCAAAAGGAAGGAGAGTTTTTTTTCCTCCTCTGCAGAAGAAAAGCAGGTGCCTGAAACACGAGCCAAGTGATAAATACACAATCTGATTTTGTAGATTTTATCATGTGTAGCTTTGGATGCATACACAGTATAGAGGTGTCAGATGGTTTCTGGATCTCCTTTACTTTTAGCCTACATTTGCATGACTTGCATGCATTACTTAGGTTAATGATAAAATGTGTGAAAACGTCACGGCGATGATAGAAAAGGGACATGTGTGCTTTTCACCAGGCGTGTGTTGTTTATCAGTTTTTGCTCATTTGTAACATTTATTGAGAAGATTTAAAAAAAAAAAAAGACAGTTTGGTGTTTTTATGCAAAGCTTTGCAGAGTCAAGGAAATGGAGAACTTTATTTTGAAAATCAAGAGAATTATATTTTTGTCAATTCATTTTGACAGCTAGCTTATGAGAATTTTTTTTGTGGATGCATAACAAATATAGAAGCAATTCGATATGTCATAACTGAGTTAAAGCATCTTTGTAGCTGTATTTTCTTGCAGAAACATGGTTTTTAAAATGTGTTCAGCTGCTATTTGCAGCGCATCAGGTCCGTAATGTAAGACACTTCCTGAGCGTGTGAAGGAGACATCCTGAGGAAAACATTTCAACAAGGCTTAACGAAAAGCCGTTTTATTATCCATTTAGTAACACCTTCATGAAGACAATTTGTACAAGATACATCACGTTATAAAGTGCACAAATACTGTACAACAAAAAATGACTTAAATACGCAGAGAAGGGGGGTTAATCACATTTGTTTAAAAAAGGGAAGGAAAAAAAACAACCAAAATTGTAAAAATGTATTGGACTGAATGAAACATGCGTTTTTGATTTTCTTATTTTTATTTTATTTTCCCAAAAACGACAAGCACTACGCATGTTTCTGCTCATGTGAGAGGGGCTGGCCTGGGAAAATAACCTTGTGCAGCTTGCTTGGGGAAACACTAAGCTTTGGCACCTTTAGAGAAAAGAGAAGAAAGACATTAACAAGGAATGGAGAGCACTCATTGATCAAACCAAATCAATATATTTAGCTTAAATAAATAAATACAGTCCTAGGGGCTTGTGTAGAATGCATAATAACCCATGCCTTTTGGGTTGTCCTTGTTGTACTCCTCCGTGGTCAAGTCCTCGCACTTGATGGTCGGGGAATTCTCCGTGCTCGAGCCCCCGGGGGACATCCGGCGCCTCTTGCACACCATGGAGTACACGCCAGAGTCGCTAGAGTCCACTGATTTCAGCGAGTGGGACGTCTCGATCCAGGTTGAGGTGGGCTGTGTGTTTTCCTCCGGCAGCTTTTCCTTAGTGGCCCCCAGCTGGTCCTCTGGGAAAGCTGGGGGGCTTGGGCGAGGGGACCAGGGCAGGCCTGTGGTCATTTTACGCTGATAAGAGCTTCTAGTTCCCCATCCTGCAGCCATGGAGGCAAAGGCTGAGTCTGGGTAGTAGCTGAGGGCATGGGACGTCTGCAGGGACAGAGGCTTGATGCCGTACGACAGCAGGCTACTGGTGGAATAGTCATTTTCATACGACAGGTCGAGCTTGTTGGAGCCCGGCTGCTGGACCGGAGGGACAAACCAGCGCTGGGCGGAAGCAGCTGCGCTGGGATCCTCGCTCTGCGGGGAGAGAAGGCTGTTGGTCTGGGGGACGGCCCGCTCTCCGGTGTAGAATCGGTTCTGAGGCAGGTTGTTGACAAACTGGTCCTGAAAGAAAGGCTGCATGGCGTAGCGAGCTCCGGGCACGATTTGGGTGGAGCGAGGGGAGTCGGTCGGCGACGGGGTCAGCCTGTCGTTCTCCGGAGCGGTGTACATCCTGTTTCACAAAGAAAGAAACACAAGTTTAGGATAAAATAGGTAAAAAGAAATGTGGGAGGAAAACGTTCAGCACAAGTGCGAGACACGTACGAGTCATAGTTATCTCGGAAGCCTTTTGCAAAAGGGTTGTGATCGATCTTCAGCTGTGTGATCTGAAAACCAGAAAACAAACGGGATTTAATCATCTTAATGCAACATAAAACTCTGCATTTAAATCGTTTAATAAAAGCTTACATCTGTGTTCTGGTAAGCTGTGACGGCAATGAACTGGTTCTCTGGGAAGGTGAAGGTTTGGGTTCTGGCCTCGTTGCTCATGTCCTCCACTCCGTCCTCCGTTACCTCCACAATGTGCAAACGTGGTTGGTATTTGTGAAGAGACTGCAGGACGATCATCTGAAAGCAGGAAACACAGTTTGCACCAAATCAGCTGCATCCTGTTAATTAAATCCAACTAAATTAATCTAAAACTCCTTAAAATGAAATAGGAATTTCTCTTAAATTGAACATTATTGTCGCACCTGTGTGTTGTTGTTGTTCGCTCCTTTGTTGTTGGTCAGTTTTAGTTTGCCGAAAGAGATTTCTTGTCTCATCCAGTGAGCACCGGTGTTTGGAGATTCAGGGTGAACGTACACCTTGTTACCTAAAATTAAAAAGAAGAAAAGGATTATTTCAATTTGAAAAAAAAAAAAATCAAAGCAAACATAAAAAAAGGCCAAATCAAGGGGGAAAAACAATCGGAGACAAAATGTGATTCTTAGAAATATTTCCTCCATTTTATTTTATTTTTTTGCAAAAATCCCATAAAAGGGAATATTAAGAAAATTCAGTAAAATTTTGTTTCATTTCATAAATAAAAGATCTATATGTTAACTAATCAATGACCATATTTAAGTAAAAACTAAATACACCCAAAAATATTGCTTTTAATTTAAAACAAAAAGATATTTTAATTTTTATAAACAAAAACATTCAGCTCACAAAAAATAACCAACTTAGGCCTTTAAATCCCATAATTCTCACATGACAAGGCCCGGCACCTCAAATAAATAAAATAATGTCTAAATCTCGAATAATTTACCAAACAATTGTGCAAAATATAGATTTATTGCTTTTAAATAATGAAAAAAGTATACTTATGCTTTCCCCCCCCCACATCTGATCCATAAAACCGTTTCTTTTTTCGATTATTTAAGCATTTATAAAACACTCTTTGGTATTTAAATGTTATATTTTCTTATTTTTAACACTCACCTTGCATATTATTGTCTGCTTTCCCACAGGTGACCCACTTCCCCCCCTGAAAGCGCCAGTGGTTCGGGTCGGCCAGAACTATTTCCACAAACACGTTGTAATGGGCCGTGAGGCTGAGTCCGGTGATGTTGAAACTGAGGAAAGGAAACATCCGCCTGAAAAGAAACAAACATTTAGAAAAATAAAGTATTTTTTAAAATGCGCTAATTATTTGCGCAATTAAACCAAAACGTTAACTGAGCGCAGTTATTAGCGCATTTTCCCTTAGATTTTATAAATCTAACTATATAAAAGTGACAACATGAAGATGACGGTTCTCTGCCGTGAGGCCTTTGAGCCAGGCTGTTTACCTGCCCTGTTTGGTGATGATCATCTCGGTCTGGTGCCGGTGAAACTTCAGCCACAGAGGCCGGTTACACAGGTACACCTGCGCCCGGGCTCCGGCCGCTGATCCCGGCAGAGACATGGACCCAATTCCCGTCCCTGTCCCGGAATAGGACGGGTATAAACAGCCCGGACCCTGACCGAACTGGTACCCCCCGCTGCCGAACTGGCTCCTGCCGCTGCACACGGACGGAGCGGAGAAGCCGGTGGGTGGCAGGACGGATCCATAATGCAGCGAGGCTGGGTATCTGGAGCCGCTGGTCCCGCTGTACACCGAACCCGTCTGTCCTGCGTAGGGGAAGAGGGAACAGGGGTTCGCCATGTCGGAACTCGCCTGGGAGGACGAGATGAAGTATCTGTCAGAACCAAGTTCGTCTATGTTGTAGCGCCGGCCGCTCGCCAGCTCGTCCTCCCCCAGAACCGGAGAGCCTTTCCTCCCGTCCGCCTTGGTAAAAGAGTCCCCCTCTGCCTCACCCAGCATCCCGTTCCCCACCCCGCTCAGGTACTTCTTCGGAGCGCTGCTGGACTCGGATTCCGTCCGGTCCACCTCCTGGTAATCGAGCTGGGAGGACGGCCTGGGGCTGTTGTTGGCGCTGTCCGACGAGGACAGGTTGTAGAAGGTTTTGGGTAAATTGATGCTGGCGCTGGGAAGGATGTTCTCTAACTGCATTCTCGTTTGGAGTTCAAAAGTTCTCACGAGGCCAGAAAGTAGATCTCAGCCCAGGAGGAGCCGCCGGCGGCCGGGTGGTCTCGGAGTAGTGCAGCCCGCCTCCCCTCACAGATGACGGCAGCGTCTCCAGGTTCGGATCAGGTGGAGGTTTGGGTTGGAGATGCTCTCCGGCTCTTATAAGAATCCGCTCAGAACAGGCTGGACGCGTGAGGGGCGGGGCTTCAGACAAGAAACCGACCAATAGCAGCGCAGCTGTAATTCAATTAGAAAGTGTGTTATTGTATCAGATAAACTTTATTTTAGACTTGTTGGGTGCTCCGTCCGCGTGCGCATTCAATCAAACCGGGAAAAGGCGTCAGCGTTAACTAAATATCGTTCTACTCTGTTTTTTAATTAATTCTTGTGAAAACAATCAAATATTATAAATAAAAATCGTTTATTTTTACCTCGCGGACTTGGTGGCACATCTGACGCTTTTACGCGGCACCGTTACGCACACAAACACCTTCAATCTGCCAGATTCTGCTCATCCCCGTCCAACGCACACACACACACACACACACACACACACACACACACACACACACACACACACACACACACACACACACACACACACACACACACACACACACACACACACACACACACACACTTTTAATAACTCACCCCAGAATGCAGAGACCCCGCTTCCCCCGTGCAAAAACGCTCCAACCCGTTTAAAAAAACAAAACAACGCAGTCACATGTGCACCTTATTTCCTATAATTGGACCTCACCGCCTCTTCAGCACCAGCGCTCATAAAACTATCGAGTGTCAAACCTTCTCAAAATAAAGAGCTCTGAAACTAAAAGACGGTTATTTGAATTTCGCACTTGATAAGGGAAAATGTAGCCGCTGATTCTTCAGATTTTTCTCGGCGGTGAATCAGATCTTGCAGCTGTGGCTTCATTTCCGTTCATAGTTAATATTAAAAAAACAATTATTATCTTGCAGCATTGACATTCTTTTAGATTTATCACATTTTAATAAATTGGACAAGCAATTTTACGTAAACACCAGTCATAAATCAAAATGTCATCGATTTACTGATTAATTTAGCATAATGAACTGTTTGGATTTTAAAGAAAAAAAAAGGGGGGGGGGGGGAAGAGAAAAGAATAGTGCGTGAAAAAAACCATCGTGGATAGTAAATAATTTTATTTGTCGGTACAAAATTTTGATCTGAAAATACAAAATTTTCTTTTCATCGTTCATGAAGTTAAACGTTTAAAAATAACGTTTTAATATTTGTGTTTCAATGAAAATTCTCCTAACTAGTTTTGTAGATCACATCAAATAAATAAACACATAATAAATAAATAAATAAATAAATAAATACGTACATAAATAAATAAATAATCTGCACGTGTGCAATTTCAATAAAAATGAAAACACATAAAAATTATTTAATCAAAGTAATTTAGTGATTGGCAATAATTTGAGAAGCAAAATTGGAACATCACACACACACACACACACACACACACACACACACACACACACACACACACACACACACACGCGCGCGCGCGCGCGCACACACACACACAGAAAAACCAGATGCCTGAAGGAGACAGAATGTTAAAATAAATGGAAAGCTCAGCTGATCTGTTTCCAGGCCTGATGATGATGGAGGGGTTCCGGGGACAGCGCTCTCTAGTGACCGAGCACGACTCTTTGTTGCTCTGCTTGTTTTAAAATAACTCAAAGCTAAGAAATCACCAACTCTCACCTCTTAGACTCATTTCTCACTTTACATAATCTTCAACTTGTGCTGCATCCTTGTTTCTGCCTGTGTGTGGCTGAGTTGTGTGTGTGTGCTGAAGGAGGTGAAGGGTTTGTGTGTGTGTGTGTGTGTGGGGGGGGGGGGGGGGGGAGATGAATTTGGGGAAAATGGGGATTCAAATCTGTGAAAAGCTGGGGGAGACTCTCTGCTGGAGGCAGATTGGCTGGTGTCACAAAGCGGGGACTGAAAGAGGCGGCTATCGGGCCATCGGGAGACCGGCGTGACACTGCATCACGGTCTGTCAATCAGGACGATGGCCCCTCGCTGCAGGGACATCAAACATCTGACAACTAAAATCAAGTTTTCTGATTATTTGCTGCTTGTTCTGTTATTTACTCCCACCTCTGTCGCAGTGCAGGCTGCATCGGTTTTTCAAACTGGTTCCGAATCTTAAACAGGTTAAGAGGATAAAAAAAAGTCACGTGCAGAGGCACCCCCAAAAAGTGGCCAGAGGGGGTCAAGGCCAACCCTCTGGCCCCCTCAAGGGGGAGACCATGTCCATCCTCCTGAATAATTCGCATTCATGATCACACAAACCACACATTCATCTTCTTTAATCGAGAAGTAAATGTTAAAGCCAATAAATAAACAGATTTCAATACAATTTTCCTAAACTACGTATTTAATAAATCACAATTTAAAAATAATGCCTGCAAAAAGGTTGCTGAAGCTGACCATTTTCAAAATAAAAGTATAAATGCCAAAACCCAATGGTTTTTGGTGAATCAGCAGCAAAATAATTAATTAAAATTCAAAAATATTTAGAAACAATAACTGTGAAATTTTGTCTTTTTTCCTGAGATATTTGTGTTTCACAGAATTGAGGTGAATGTGTTGAATGCATTTTGTTCATAAATGAAAATAAAGGATGGAACATCACACAGCTGCAGGCTAATCTCCCCCAGAGTTACCACAGGGACCACTCTCATGCGCCACCCCAAACTTTTCACTGGCCCCCCTAAGAACAAAGCCTGGGGGCGCCCCTGATCTCGTGAAGATGATTGAAAATAAACATAACAAGGACATGAATCTGTGTATTTATGTCCACTCTGTTTGACTCGAGTCTCTGCAGGCTCCTTTTAAAGTTATTGAGTAAATCTATAGATCAAAGGAACACATTTGTATTCTGTATTTTACACCTGAGCTGTCAACACCTTATTAGGACAATCCTACAATGCATCTTTTCTTTTCTTTTTTCATTAGACAATCTTCAAAAATCCAAAATAATTCCAGATTTTTGATCTGTCCAAGAATAATTTCACAGCTGATTATTCGTGCATTTTTTCACACAACCTCATTCAGGGTTTTAAAAAAGCGCCGTAACCTTATTGGTTTAAGGGCCATAAAGTCTAAAGCATGTAGGTCTTCCTAACTGCCCTCAAGACTCGGCTAAAAAACGAAAAAACAAAATAAAGCTGATTTATTGGCCACCTATAAATAAACTAATTCCAAATGAGGTGGATGTGTAGGTCCCGCTCATAAAGGAGCTCCCACTTGTGACCTGTCAGCATGTTTCTTGACTGCCCATAAAAGTCCAAGTGTGTCTGAGATGACCCGGTTTGGCCCCGGGCTAGGGCCTGCGCGACAGGGGAAGGGAAGTCTTACCATATTGTTGTCAGAGTAGATCATCAACACGGCACATGAAAGGAATGCATTCCCTGCTTTATGGGCCAGCGTGGCTGCAGAAGCCTTTGCTCCAGAGTGAATTCATGTACCCCATTGCAAGGATTAATAACGCAAGTCTCATTAGAGATCCTGGCTACCGAGACCCCTGGAGGGAGGGGTGCTGGGAAAAAATAGGCCGAGTGCTGTGTGCACGATGCCAGGCAGCCCGCTCCTCCGCAAATCATCATCCCGAAGAACACTTTTACTAGAAAGAATTTATTTCACACGTTGATCAACAACGTCCCCCCAGTATATTTTCTCCGCGAGCAGTGATTGCTAACATTTACTCAAAGCAGCGGCCTTTCCTCGAGGGCGGCTTGTGTTACCGACACTCTGCTGTCTTCAAAGATACGAAGGTGACAGCTTCATGAATTCTCCTTTAAGTACTTTTTCTTATTTCTCTGGGAGGGAGGTAAAAAAAATCCATTTATGTAAAATAGTAAGTCAGATTGGAAAAGGAAAAGAACTCGACGCGGAGAATTATGCAGAGAAAATGATCACAAATTGAGGATTGTCTCCGTCTGTAAGCAGTCAGAGAGCGAGACCCGTAGAGGACGTGTTCGGAAGTCGTCAAAATGCATTAGAAGAATGTCGGATTGTATAAACCTGTCCGACGCCGCTGCATGCGTGTGCTTTCTTCCTCCGGAAGACGCTGTGGATTATTGTAGGAATGCATCTGGGGATGTGTTTGTGATGCAGAGGACAATCATAATCCACTGTGTTAAGATGAATCTTGGAGAAATAAGGCAGCGGCTGCATTCAGGGAAATAGGATTGAAGCTGCTTTGCTATATTGGATTCCCCACGGCATGACAACAGGATTTTTGGATTACTGCATTAAAAGAAAGTGTCACCCCGGGCCTTTGGGGGAAAGCAGCGACCAGGTGATTCTCAGCAGTCCCGAAGCAGCCCATTTTTATCATCTCAGCCATCTGATGTTTTATGATGACATGATTCGTGCAGCCGCGATTTCACGACAAAAACCTGGAACCGAATCGCTTTCTGGCATCGCCACCAAAACAGGACGCTACCAAAAGTAGTTGACCGTCCACTGGCTCAAGCCTCGCCCTCATCCTCGTTTTAGCATCAACCTTCGTTGACCCACTTCTCTGAGCCCATCCTTCTGCAACACCAGAGGAATTGACATAGCCCGAGGGACCGCGGCCAAATAGCAGGTGCTAAAAGTTTGACAGCGTAGGCTGGATATATGTGTTCCCTGGAACGTGAGGTGCAAGGGAGGGTGGTGGAGTTGTATCGACTCTGCATTAAGCCTCCAAGAGTAACACGCCCTCCTTAACAAGCATGCTCTCTTAGATGATGGGAGGTGGTGTGGCAACCGCTGACGTCCACCAAGGCGCAGCAGCTCTGCGCAGCTCGCCCCTGGTTCCCAGTCCTTTCCCAACGAGCTGGGCTTTTATCACATTCCCAACCCTGACTCAGAAACTGCATTTTGAGAGGACCCTGTAATTTTTTTCTTGGTGTCTTGCTTTTTCTTTTTTTTTTTTTTTCTTCTTTTGGCAAACAGATTTACACCACAGGAGTATTCTGCTGCTGGTCCTGCCTCAATGTGGTTAAATCAGTGAGTCAGAAGTGAGAATGTAGAGTTTTAACACTTCTCTCTCCTGGTATGAAAGCTTCGAGATCGACACAGAGGAAAGCCCTAACTGACTTACTGTCTACCAACCCGAGGCATATGCTTATGGGAAGGAGGCGGTGTAGACACAGATTATGGTTTACGGTCGACCCCTGTGGCGAAACAAGGAGCGTAGCCACACCGTCTTCATCGTCTCAGCAGAGATTCACGTAGATCTTCCTCTAACACCCTACAGGAACTTCGCTCCGGACCTCTGGGATGTTTACTGCGATCGTTTCAGAACACGTTCAACTTTCTAATTTCTGCATTTCTGTTTCATCCTTCAATATAACTGAAAAAAAAGACAATTCACCCACCAAAAAAAAAAAAAAGGCTCCTGCCTCTGCTGTGGAGAAACGCATCCAGCAGCCATTAGATATAATTAGAGACCACAGAATGGTTGTGTATTAAAACATTTGCACCAATTTGGCAGCTGTATAATTTAGATGTACTGGATCATGCCACGCACATACATGAAAACACACAAGCTTGTGCTCACACACACAATTATGTATACGCTCATGCCCATACACACACGCTTCTACATACACACACACACGTGCAGGGACCTCAGTGCAGCGGACTCCTTCAATATTGAACCCAGACCCAGGCCTGGTCTCTGTATTTACATGTAAATGGTATACAACAATC